CACACACACACACACACACACACACACACACACACACACACACACACACACACACACACACACACAAAACCTTTTATATTTCTCCTGATTGGAGCAGTTGCAACAACCTTACATGGCACAGAATTTAGGCATTTTGATACTGAATCAACAGAAGGAAACAGGGCTGCATTTACTTCCTGCCCCCGTCTGCATTTTGTGACGTCGATGCTACATCATCTGTTGCATGAAAACAAGTTTGACCATAAAGGCTACAACTCTGCCAYACGTAAGATGATGTTAGCTTAAAACTCTGGCATGAACAACATCAGGTTGTTTTTGAGTTGTTAGTTCAGATGAGATGTTTTGTGTTTTCCTGCATCCAGGGTTCCTCTGATCCTGGTGGGGAACAAGTCTGACCTGGTGGAGCACAGCAGCATGGAGACCATCCTGCCCATTATGAACCAGTACAGTGAGATAGAGACTTGTGTTGAGGTGAGGGGAACACACAAACCTTAATGTAATAATTATGATAACATCCTGTCTGGAAGCTTCTTAGAGTTTGTCTTCAGCAGTGCTGCGATTTTACACATTTTTAAGAAAAGTTTTTATATTCTAAGGTTTATTTAATGTGCCACAGAACTGCATGTGAATGTGGGTGAAATCTGTAAATGAGAGACTTTAAAAACATTTGTTTCCAGTGTTCTGCAAAGAATTTAAAGAACATTTCGGAGCTGTTCTACTATGCCCAGAAGGCAGTCCTGCACCCGACGGGACCTCTCTACTGTCCAGAGAAAAAAGACGTAAGAGTCAAAGAGAAAAACATTCTGCTCCTTTTTCCTGTCTGACCTACTGGTTTACCGCTTTTGAATTCAAAACATTTTAATTTTTTTAGATGAAGCCACTTTGTGTAAAAGCTCTGACCCGAATCTTCAAAGTCTCAGACCTGGACAACGATGGGGTCCTCAACGATAACGAACTCAACTTTTTCCAGGTAAAACTCTTTTACTTGTTGATAATGGGCTCGGATAAACTCTGAAACCTCCTGTTTTTCGTTCCAAATCTGTTTCAACTGTTTCAACAACAGTAATGTTCTGTGACAGCGAACATGCTTCAACAGCCCTCTGCAGCCTCACGCCTTGGAGGACGTGAAAAAYGTGGTGAGGAAGAACTTACCGGAAGGCGTGAGCGACAACGGACTCACACTGAAAGGCAGGAGCAGGTTTCACCGACCGGCTGGCTCAGTTTCATGTCAGACGTGTTCTTTGGTTTGTTTCTGATCAGGTTCTGTTTCCTCCCCAGGCTTCCTGTTCCTCCACACGCTGTTCATCCAGCGAGGTCGTCATGAAACCACCTGGACGGTGCTGAGGAGGTTCGGATACGACGACGACCTGGAGTTAAATCAGGACTTCCTCTTTCCTTCGTGAGTCTCACGGCAACAAACCCACTGGATGTTAGGTTTTGTGACTTTACTTTGAACCTGTTCGTTGTAAAAGTGACCGCACGTTTTTGATATTTACATTTGTGCTCAGGTTGAAAGTTCCTCCAGACTGCACCACTGAGCTCAATCACAACACCTACCTCTTCCTGCAGAGCATCTTTGACAAACATGACAAGGTACAGCTCCGCGTGTCTGTGTTTACCTTTAAGTCTCTGYCCTGAAGGGACACCAGCAGGAAGCTGCTCAGAGCCACAAATACAAACYAAAATACACTCCCCCCTCCGCCCTCCTCCCAACCCCCTGCTGAGTGCAGCTTTAACCCGTAGGCATGGAGGAGGGATTTACAGGAGAATAAGCTGCTGGGTCAAAAAGGAAAGTCAGAGAGTGAAAGTGACAGCTTGTACCAAGATCTGTCTGTCGTAGTGATTAGTTCCCGAGGGTTAAAATGTACTTCACTTTGTTTCCATTACCGTCTTTTTATGAAGTGTATATTGTATTGTATATTGAACTGTAAATTGTCCCTGCAATTAAACAAAATAAAAAAAGTATCGCATTAGAAAATGTTGATGGAAACCACAAAATTAAAAAAAAAAARTCTTCAATTTGCAAAAAGTTGTTACGCCAGCTTGAGGTTGGTTTTTGGGTTTTCTGAAAAAAGATTTAATGAGCAAAAAAGGAGATGGAAACACATTTGCCAAATAAGTTCTGATGTAGTGAACATTTACCTCTGATCAGCTGTTCCACTGTTTGCCTCTTCCTGGATATTTCCCATAAGAATTGCATTTCTTTCTCTACGTCTCCGGACTGCAGATAACTGTGGAGGACTGAAACTGTCATAATTAGAAATAAAAGCAGAAATATATAAATGGACAAAAAAAACAAAAAAACAAAACAGCAACATACACTTAAAATGTACCAATTATAATTTAATTGAACTTCATATTTATTTTTCCAGCTTAGGTACAATAAATTATATATTTT